TTTTTTTTTTTTTTTTGGCTTTGCTAAGGTCGGTTAGAGAGGACATGGAAGTAACTGGAGTGAGAACAGAGTGAGCTGAAAGAGGATGACTGTCGAGTCCTGACGAGGGAACAGCTRAAAGAAGAAGCAGACTGTTCGTGCAGGCTGCAATTTCAGGCAACAGCTACATTGGCACCCTTCAAAATGTTTCAAACAACTCTGTAGTTTGAGAGGTGTTGATGGTAAACCACCATCAGATGTGACAGCAAAAAATCCACTAAAATAAATAAGAAAAATAAAGAGAATTAAAGACATTTCTGAACAGTTTACAGGCTGTCAGGCCTCACTCTGCCAAGCACTTCTGTGTGTTTACAGTTCCTGAAGTGTGTTTTCATTGGCCGGTGGGTCAGTCTCATAAAACCAACATTTCATTAGCAGCATGGACCCCACCCAGACATCTGTAGATGCATGTGGAACGTGCACGCACAGATGTGTGATCACCACCCACATAAATGAAAGCGTCAGTCGACGCGGCGGTCAGGTGTGCCGGCCCACCCAGGCATCGTTCTCCCACATGTGGTGGAGAACAGGTGCAGCACATCAGAGTGATTCACAGAGGTCAGTACTCAAAAACTGGTGTCCATTCAAAATAATATTCTGGGATTCCTCAGGCCTCTAAGGCCAGATGTGTGTCATAACCCTCCCTCATTTCATACACACACAAACTCATTACACACACATACTTCCATGTTTTTTCTTGGTTCATTGAGATTTCAGCTCCCTGCTGTTGGATTTTTCATCCGTCAGCTAAAAGCCTTTTGCTTTACATCTTGGCTTCATTTAAGAAAAGCCTTCAACACAAMCCTCATTCAAGGCTGCGGGTCGACTCGCCAAGACCTCCGAGGTTCATTCTGTCAGGCTGTCCTTGTCTACATGTGCTGAAGGCTCTTTTAGTGTGAAAACATGTAACCACGCAAAATATGAGAGAGAGAGAGAGAGAGAGAGAAATAAACTTTAAATATAAAACCATTATAAAATAAGTGTTATATCAAAATATTTATATAATACTTATAGACTGCTGTACACATGGGCATACAGACATAAAGAGACAAACAAACTTTGAGAAATAGAGTTTACATCCAAAAGGAATAACAAGCTAAAGGTTAATTCAAATGCAGGCCAAAGGTGTTCATTTTTGTTTAAAAAATGTAGAAGGCCATGTAATTACTTTTTTTAAATTGTCTTAATTTTCCCACAATTTTTTTTAAACACATTCTCACTCCCGACTCATCACATACTGATGCTTTTCCAAGGTTCCTTCTGYGTCCGGTTTTGACGCGTCAGGTAACCCCCTCGCATCAGTTGTTGATGCAGAGAGCTTTTCTGTGTTTGCGCCACATTGGATCTTTGGGTTGGGGTCCGTGGTTAACGTTAGGGATCAGGATTACTGGTTAGTTTTAGGTAGTGAGTTCAAGGATAGGATGTCTAAGGATAATATAAGTTAAATTTAGGGTTTGTGAGAGTTACTTGTAGTGCATTTTCTACACTTTTCCCAAAAAAAGTGACAATGGGCTGTTCCTCTTTGTTCTCTTCTTGTCAATAACATACGCGAGGGGGTTACCAGATGCGTCAAAACCTGATGCAGAGGGAACCTTTGACAAACGTAATTATGTAACGAGTCATGAGTGAGAATGTGTTGAATTTGTAGATGCCAAATGGGTTCTTAAAATTCACAGCCCAGTAAAATCTGACCTTCAGTCCTGTCACATTTTAACTCTGTTCCTCCAAACTGAAGTCAAGCAAAAGGCTATCTACAACAGGTAAGATACTGATTACATTTTCAATAAAACCTCCCTTAAATTGACCAAAATACTCATTAAGAATTGAATCATATTTAAGATAATAGTAATAGAAATTTAAGTTTTTATCTCTGAGTAAAGAAGCTATGCTTATGTACAGGTGGAAAAATAAACTGAAGTTTGAATAGTTTGACAGCTGTGTTATGTTATATGAAATAATGACTCAAAAAAACTAAATGAAGTAATAAAAGTACAATTAACAGATGGTTTTATTATAGTGGGGCCATCAGCTCAGGGTTGGTCACATATTAGCCAGCTTGAAGACAACATCCATCATGCTGCATCTTGAAATGCAACTATGATGAAAGTGCTGCAGACAGTGGGACTCACACGTCCCACTGTGGACTCAGAAGTGATTCAGTSTCAGTCTGCAGAGTTCACTCAGTGAGGTGAATGTGTTTTCTCTCTGAGCTGCAGCCTGAAAGGAGATCTGAGACCTCCAACTTCACCCCCCTCCACAGTTCACACTTTGGGTTGCATTTGGCCCCGCCCTTTTGTGAACAGCTTTTGTCTGAAAGAAAAAAAGTTTCTTTCATATTTGCTGCTCTTCCTCCCCTCCCCCCTCCCTTTGGTTCTCCCTCCCTCCTCAGCATCAAGTGCAGCCTGGGCTGAGCGCCCCGGCWGAGGCTCCTTCCTCTCAGACTCTCTGAAGGAGCGATGAGGAGAAAGCAGCTGTCACCCTGCTGACACCAGCACATCTAGGATATTCTGACATCTTTTTTTCTCACCACTGGAATCATATTTGTGTCCAAACCCAAGGAGAGCAAAGAAAACACTGGAGGAAACCATCAATCGGATGCGAGCAGGTTTGTCTCCTAATGATCACAATTTTCAGGGTATTTTTTGTAGTTTTTTTGTTTTGTTTTTTCATCATTTCACATTTCAAACAGCTTCTCTTTCAGTGTTACTTCTTTTACCCGTAGATCAAATATTTTGGGTTCTGGAACCAACTTGATTTTTGTTTCTGAATATGTTTAAATATTTTCAAAATTTTCTCTTTAGGTGCTTTTCATGGCACAATCATTAACTGCTTCTTGGGAATAACACATTTCTGCAAATCCTTTTGAACAATTATTGATTTATTATCATATCATTACGTTGAATTATAATTTTTAAACATGATTATTTTCTTTTTTTCATTTTTAGTTTCATTTAACGTTTTTTCTCTTGAAATGTCAAAGCTTCTCCTAAAAATCAAAGTTTGTCTAAAGTTTTGAAAGTTGGTCAAAGCTTTTTCCACATTAGACCTAAGCACCATCTATTGGTCRTTTTGCCTCCTGGCTGCCTCTGACTCTTGGTCTTCTCAAAGGGATGAAGAGTGCAGCCTCCTCTTCAGTTGACCGAAGTGGAAAAATGCCTGAAATAAGCCGACCAGCTTCCTCTTATTATGTGCAAACTTAATTTGTGCTGAGTCAAAGGCTGGCATTGGGTGTGTGAAGCTGAACACAAGCTAAAGGTCATTTTGTATTTTTGTTGGGCCCAGCAGTTTTACAGCTCTTGTGGGCTGCTATTTTATTTCCATCTGTTGTTTGACAGCTAGACGTTGACCACTCGGTTGGTTTTATTGGATGCTCTGTGGCAAACTCTCACCCAGAATGTCTCATGTTCAATTCCAGTTAGTTTGATTGGCAGCTCAGTTACTGAAAATAAATAAATAAATAAATAAATAAATAAATAAATAAATAAATAAATAAATAAATAAATAAATAAATAAATAAATAGTGAAGTTTGGATTTTTGCGTTAGATGATCCACAGGTGATGATGGACGTGGATGAGCTGAGTCTCCTGGGAGTTCAGCCAATGCAGGCGAGCTTATTTTCAAACTTCATTAGCATTTAATTTGAAATGGAATGCGTGTCTTTGGACCCCCTCAGGTCAACCTCACCCCCTCCTAAAAGCAGCCTGTCTGACTTACTCAGTTTAAACTTCCCAAACTGTCAAAACAAAGGCAGACATACTGAATAAAATTAACAGCTGGATTCAAACTTCTGCATCTTTCCGAATCATTTTATTTTCCTGTGTTTGAAAGTTTCTCTGTGACCTCATGGCCACAGCCCCGCTGATTAAACAAAACTCTTCCAGTTAAGAGTCTGTGGAATCTATTAAAACACACCCAGTTTTATTCATTTATCAGGATTACAGGGGACTGAGCRTTTATAGAGACGAAGCATTAACCGCCTCTCTTTCTGATGTCATTTGGGGGCACGGAGCGAGGCTTGTGGAGCCGAGAGAAGCAGATATGGTCATTACAGAGGGAGAAGGTTAACCATTGTGGCAAACCTCCAAGCCAAAGTCTTCAGCTCATTCAAACCTTCTCCTTGCTGCCTCCAGCAAAACCCAGAGAAGATAAATCTTCTCTCACCACACAGCTGATGCATCAGCCTCAGAGATGTTCTGTATTAACATCTTATTAAGCTTTCACACATTAAAATGTGTTTTTTTTTCCACACTGCTGACTTCCCCAGAACTCTGATGTTGGTTTGAATATAAGGATTGTGTCGCCTCCTTGTGGCTGTAAACTGAACTGCTGGTGTTTCTCACTAAGCACAACTGGGTCTGCCTCAGTCCAATTTGTGTCTGTGGAGGACTGAATCTGTCAGAATTAGAAATAAAAGCAGAAATGTAAGTGGACCAATAAATAAATACTTTTAAAATGCACCAATTAAATTAAGAAAGGAGAACTTTACCTCATGTTTTGTGATTTAATTAACCTTCATATAAATTATATCTTTAAGCACATAATTTAAATGTTACTGTTTTTACACACATGGAAATAAAAAGATTTGTGGGGGAAAATGATTTAAAAATAATTAAAAATAAACATTTAAGAGACACAAATGCATGTACAAGTAAAAGGAAAACTATAT